TATTGACCCTTAAATATCATGAAATAAATGAAGAATAGGGGGGATAAAATAGAAAAAAAATTATGAATGTAGTTATGAAACAACAAAATAAGACATAGAAGAGTAGAATGAGAATTAAAAAGCACAAAAAAATGCGTAATGGTAAATTACTTAATCAAAATAGCAAACCGGTGCAAAAAAACTCTTTTGCTGCTTTATCAAGAAGTCTTCACTTCCCTTGCAGCTTTTTTCCAACCAAATTGACTACATGCAACTGTGCTCGTGTAACCTCAGTAACTATTCCCCAAGTGAACAGTGGCATTCCGTACCACAAGTGAAATTTCCATCCCTTATGGTGCTGAATAAACGCAAAAAAAACCTTCAAATGCTCTTATAGGCCCTTAAAACCAACAAAACGTAATTATCAGAAAAATACTCATTCTGTATTACTATTTCTGCCTTCAATTTCTTCACCTATTCTTCTCTTTTCCTCTCGGTTCTTCCAAGAATAACACTGTTTAAACTCAGAGTCATCTTACTTTTACAAAAGTTTAATGTAGAATTTGAAACGCTCCAAAGTGGAATGTTTAAAACCGGTTTGAACCAACAAAACAACATTGTCACTACCGTTCCCTGCGCCGTTTTTCTCACCACTAAGACTACTTTCTTCTAACGTCTGTGATACGCAATACCAGATCTCCAAAATGCTCCAAATTTTCACTTCTTCTACAATAAACACCGTGCACACATTAATTTTTAACTAATTTAAAGACTAGCATCATCTATTGCTCCACTCGCAAAACGACAGTTTGAAAGGAAACAAGACTAATTAACAGTGAAAAATGCACACATAACAACATGTACTGAAAGTACTACCAAGCCGGAAAACACGTATTTTGCCTTTCTTCCTCTACCGCATTAGCTCAACCCCGTTAAACGACAACTTACACTACCTATTCAAAACAACCTGCAACACACACTAAACTACACCGGAAACCTCTGACTAAAAACCTCCATGGACACAAATTTCTACTAGAAATGCTAACAAAAATGAGCTCCCAACAAAGCCCGAAAGACCAAACTCGCTCAACTCTATCAGATTTCAAAAACACCCTTCTTAGAGACGCCCAACCCCAATAAGTAAACCACGAGTTACCCAACCCGGCAATGACCTGCACCTTCCCAAATTTCTAGCAAAAAAGACCTAGCAAACTCTCATAAAGACACAATCCTTGATGGAATTTGAATGCTTACGCAGGAAATGTTGATTTTTCCTGCTCCAACGCAAAATTTGCCGCAAACCATGCTGACAATAATGCTACTAACAATTAAATTAAAAAGAAAAATTTTTGAAGCCGCTAATCAAAATAAAACGCCTTTGTAAACAGCAGCCACCGCCCACAGTCTATTAACCATTATCCCGTGTCTTCTTAGACTGTGACCTGAGAAACGCACAGCTGTGAGTACCGTATTTTACAAGAAATAAGGGCGATCAATTTAATCAGTTGTCACTGACTACATGAAACAATAAGCGACATACTCAAACCGAACAAAATATTCTTTTCCTCACTTGAATGTAAAAAAATAAGAACAACGAAAAAAAATATAAGCAACAAATTATAATACGAAAATGCAGACTTCGTTGACAGTAATATATTTCACTGACTGAAACAAGAAGACCTCTTTTCTGCAGTGGTTTTCAAAGAAAAAACTATGAGAAAACACCCTAACTGACCCTTACATTGTCAAACTGCAAAGCAAAGATGCAAATAAGAATCAGAGAGTATTTAAAAAAAAAATCAAACTGTTTCTAAACCTCAGCACGTAGTAATTCCACTGCAAGCTCTTAAATAAAACAGCAAGATCTGAGAATGACTTTACAACCTCAAAACAATATTACGGAAAGTAATAACAAACAAGAACAGAAGACAGCCAAATTTTCTGCAACTGGTACGATATCCGAAGGTTACAAATTACTCGTAATCACAATTATATTCAGCAATATCCCAATTTCCAGTAACTTTCTGTAAAGAAAAATAAATATGACACGACCGTGCATTTGGCTCAAAAACCTTCAAATGCAGCGAAAAGCAAGTAATGTGCAATGAAAAAATTACAGACACACCTCTGGTTTTCCTAAAGCGACACCGTTACGATCCACAATCGTGATTTCATACTCATTGTCGGCAACGCAATCATGATAAAGTGCCAACTCAATTGCTTTTCTTAACACTGCTGTTGCCTTAAAAGATTCACAGTGAACCACAAAAAGCTAGAACTGGTTCGAAATTTTGTAGGAACTATGACAGCGCGACAGAAAAAAATCAACACCTGATCTCTGTTAAGACTATTAGTAGCCTTCAGTTTGCCAAACTCAGTCTCCATTGCTTGATTTAGTAACATCGCGCCTATTCCAGTAGCTACTGTATCAGATGAATAAGCAACACCTCTGCAAAATTCAGGAATCAATAATGCAATATCAAATACTGTATAAACAGCCTCAGAGAGCACTTACTTTGATCATTAATCAAAAGCAAAAAAAATGTCCACTGCTACAAAAAAAAAAATAATGAGATTAGCTCCCACTCTTGAAATTTAAACATCTCGCCGAATTATAATACTAAAGCTGGATATCGTTGCATGTGTTCACAGAAATGCCTAGTTTCGTTAAGCTCCTTCAAGAGCGGAATACACGAATTCATGAAACTCGTATTAAAGTACAATACATTCCCGAAGTCTGAAGCGCTAATTTCAGTTTTACAACACAGAAATTTCCACAGCGATGCAGAATGATCGCAAATCAAAAAAAAGAATCATAAATGTGCATAATACAGAAGAACGACCTCCAAGCTTGTAAACTGAACCAATGAAACATTTACATAAAGTTTTAAAACTGATGCTTATACTGCCCTAATTGACCAGGCTCACTTAGAATTTTACAACTGTCAGCCGCTACTTAGCTTCCGAGAGCCGACAAACACTCCGGACCATTCGACTAGCGGCTTTCCTTTTCCACCCAAACTTTTAAAATGAATTCAGACCTTTAAATTTGCCAAGTTGCCGCCTGACATGCCTATCTTTGGAGGCTTGTAATTTGGTCCGTTCTCAACGAAAATTAACGATTTTTGATCTGGCGTATTCCCTGAACTTTTAAAAAAATACTGAATAATTTAATTTCAATAAAAGTTCACAAACATGCAATAAAAACAAAATTTCAAACAAACATAGAAAAAAAATCTGTCCCTAAATATCTTAAAAAAGATATATTTTGTGTAGAATTTCTTTCTCTACAACATATCAAAACTTGGAGATAGCGGTTTTTCGGTATCGT